GCCCTGCCCCTGGGCTTCTTCTTCTTATCCTGCTTAGCAACCTTCGGCGTCTGCCCCCTCACCTTCCCCGCACGTGCCAGAGATCCGTGCACCTTCCCTGCATTGCAACAGGATCGACCCAATTTACGATAAATTTTGGGGGAAACAAAGAATCAAGAAACCTAGATCTGAATCTGATACGAGAAAATTTGAGGATCAGGGCTTTACCCATGGCTAGCTCTGCTGGTTTCGGGCGGCGAGGAGGAGCAAACCTTTTTGCGGGCGAAAATGAGGCTAAATAGGTCTCCGAACCCTAACAGGTGACGTTAATGGGTCGGGTCTACCTAAAATTTGGATCCTGTCGTGAATAACTTTGATTCGGGTTTATGATCTGACAACCCGTTCGGAGTTGGTAAGCGGGTCAGGTTCATATTTTTAAGTTAGCAGTAAAATTCATATTTTTCGCTAATTTTTGTCAAAGAAGAAATTTTATAAATAAACTTATTCATATTTTTTTTCTAAAAATAAACCCCCTAGAGTTTTTTTTTACAAAAATCGACCTATTTTATCTTAATCCGGTTCCTAAATAGTCGGGGTTGTCAACCCCGACTATTTAGGAGGTTGTAAACCCCCAATTATAACCCTAAACCCTAACCCTAAACCCTAACATTCTATGCACTAAATAGTCGGGGTTAGCAACCCCGACTATTTACAAACCGAATTAAGACAAAATGGGTCGATTTTTGTAAAAAGAAAAAACTCAAGGAGGTCTATTTTTAGAAAAAAAAATTATGAATGAGTTTGTTTAGATAATTTCTTCTTTTGTCAAACCTAGTTAGTGTTTTATGAAATCAGATTTAAAGTTAGTTTATGTAAAAGCCTACACGTTAGTGTTTTATCAAATCAGATTTAAATTTAGTTTATACAAAGTCTACATGTTTAGAATTCTGCAAACATAAATTCACAATCTGTGCGATGTGTCTATATTCTAGATTTTGATCGTGGTATTTCCTGCACATCAAAAATGCTTACAAGCCTACAACTCTCTTTGTTTAATTGGAAATTATCCTCTCCGTTGGTGCGCGAGAGCTAACAAGATGAATGTATTATTTTGGTGCAACGATGTTTCTTTGTGTGGATATTTTTTTTTTTTACCAGAATGTTAGAAGCATTCAGATAAACCCAACAGGTACAAATTTCAACCACGACTCATTTCTAATCAGCAGAGAACTTGACTTGAACACCATTCTTTCGTATGAAAGAGAGGTTTGAGAAAACAAATCATTTCTTGGGTTGAAGAAAAGAAATCACATTATGCCAAATCAAACTTATTTTGGTAGAAATCCTTACCTTATAGAAAAGGTTGCTAGACGGCTAGACCTTAAAGAAAAGGTTGCTAGAGCTGTCAGATTGAGATCGAGTTCAAATTTTACGAAGTTTAAGGTAGATAAGCGCTGCCAATAATAAGTGAGGATATAAATGAACATTTGGCCCACCCAAATTTATGGAAACCAAGTGAAAATCCTTCAACAGCGTTAAAAAATGAGCGAAAAAACGTTCCACCCTTTTCTTTAGACTCTGTTCGGTTATAAAACTTGTTTCTATAAAATTGTGAAAGTGGAGTTCTCCTGAGAAAACGGGCAAGAAAGCTAACAAAGTAGATTAAAATATTAGCCAAGTACCTTTTCTCCCCCAATTTTATTCCTATAAAGTTGGTTGGAACCTTTGGAAAGGGTGTTTTAGCATCATTTTCCTACTCCTCTTTCTTTTCTTTTCTTTTCTTTTCTTTTTTTTTAAGGAAAAGAACCAAACAACCACTTAACACAAAGTAGGGGAAACTGCAGGGTATTTAAAGTGCTAACTAGCCTTGAATATAACCGCGTTCTTTTGTTTTTCAGCACATATCTGAGCCCTCATAGCCTGAAGATACTTAAATACGTCCCGCTGGTTTCTGCTAACATGAAATAGGAAGCTTATAATTCCCCAACATCAAGGTGCAGGGTCATAATAATTCACACATGGAGAAACTAAAGGAACTCCCAGCTTTGTTGCCAAGTCGAGTGCCGCACAAATTTCATCAAGAAGCCATCTTTGTGCTCGATGAGTTTATTGCACAAAACGAGCAAGAGAGAGGCTGTACAAAACACAAATTTCATGCAAAGTTGCCAGCATATATCAGAAGCTCCAACGTGTAACATCACCCACACAGTATCAATATCACAGTTAATAGCGTTGAAATCTCCTAAAAAAACATTTACAACCAAAATGTATGTGCATTACCAAGTGAGACTCACTTCTTAGAACCCAAGCATCAACTGTAAGTAGTCTTTCCATGTCGATCATTCTTTTTCACCTGCAAATGTTCATTTAAGGGTTTTTAGACAGTTAATATATGTCTGTAACTCTGTTTACCAGTTTAAGAATTGGTTATCCAGCTTACCGGTTTAAACTTTCCTTGGAGATTGGAAACCCCAACAGGGCATTCTCCTTTTTCATCATAGTCCGCAAAATCCCCTTCAGACAGATCAATTTCATAAACTGTGCCACTTGTCTGCAATACAACAAAAAAGGGGGGGGGAGGGGGAGGGGGTCAGTCCCAGACTGTGAAAACCACATAAGGACTTGAGTTCAGTAATGTAAAACCATCATGAGAAATATACTAATCAAAGCCTTGCTTACACAGTACTAAAAGGTGTCACAGGTGTATGTTTATAATGCTATACACCAAGCAAATTGTGTAATTTACATGATAAATGAATATAAATAAAAAGTCAGGAGCCATAGTTTCCTACTGCACCTTAGCCAAATGATTCATAACAAAAAGGAAAGCTGCATCATCTAGATACAAAACTTCAATAACTCATGGACAAGAAGAGCCAGCTAGAAATAAATGATTGATGGTGTAGAACACATATACACAAACAAAATCATATATCCCAGAGCTCGTCCTCCCTTCCGCACCCCCTGCACACACATCCATGCAAGTGCACACACAAATTCCTCAAACCTCAGCACAGAATATGAGGCATGACTGCCTATGCATATGAATGTACATGCAAAACAAATAAAACGGAAAGGGGTCTTGACAAGAAACACAGCAAAGCAAATGTTCCACTAAGAAAATATCCCCACCAACAGAGACCAAATCTTCTGAGAATACCAGGGCATCAGAACAACGTATAGATTGACAAAAATAAGATCCAAACATGCACAAGGACAAAATTTTACATGTCAGTGAGTGCGGGTGCATGTCTACATGGACGGGGTGGATTGGAAGCTAATTATCCCATTCAAACTTACCGACAGGATACTAAGAAAACAACTAGATCAAACATTATCGAGTACAATGCCTAAAAATAATAAAGTCAAGTGAATATGAGTTTCTTACCCAGTGAAGTAGCACAAAAGGACAGTCGAATTCCATGTGCTTATATCTATAATTTGGGGGTCAACAACTTTTTGATCCAAACTTTTGTCTGAACTAAACATATAAAACAAAACCCTTAAAAGCACCAACTTATGTAAAGTTTCACAAACTCATGTTAACCTGAATAATTTGATGTTTTTTGGCAATTCATTTTGTACCCACTTGATGGACAGGGAGAAAAAAACTCAAACCACTTGAGTTTTAGTTTGACGCTCCAAACGATGTGGATGAACTTGAATAGAATGGATTTTGAATTTGATTTTCCTATGATTGATTTTGAACTTTAAGGATTTTTTTTCTTTTTCTATTATTTTAAATCTCCATTTCAGGATCAAATAGGAAATTCAAATATCCTTACAAACAAAAACAAACATAGAACTAGGGCAAACAATTTTACAAGGACTCCACAGGTAAAGATATTCTAAGACCGTAAACAGTAAGCCGAGCAATAATAAAAACTCAGTGAAGAGGAAAATCAGAGGCAAATAAAGTGTCTTTCAACAGCAATGATCCCCTTTTATTTCTTGGGCATACTACACTCACATCCACTTTCCGGAACTTTTTGGACAAGAGTTGGGTTTTTTTCAAGACATATTCTGTTCAGAATTACGGCTTTAAAGGGTTGTTTGCGTGTCTAGTTGAAAACTATAAATTCAGCCCACGTGTTTCAGCCGTGTCCCCCTACATTAACTTTTATAAATTTTCCGTGTCCCGTACACGTATCTGTATCCATGCAACAACTTAGGACTCAGCACATAAATTAAGTTTTTGACATATTATATATTTCTCCATGTCTTGTACGTCTCTTCATGTTTGGAGCATACTTCCAATTATCTGAGCCTAACCAACGTCAATAAAATTAGATATATACGGAAGAAAGTACTGCTCAAGTCATAGCTCAATTTGCTGTTGTTTGAACTCTATGGGTCCCCTGCTCTTAAGAAATACTACGTTAAAACATCATACTATTAAATTGATTCAAAAATTTATAATCAAATCAAAGTATCTTCAGAACACAACCCCCCCCCCCCCCAACCCCCAAAAACAAAAAAACTTAAAAAACACACACACACACGCGCGCACACACAAATACACAAAGGCCTGTTTGACAGATCCTTCGCTTTATCCTGTCTCTCCCAGCCCAGTTACCTTATATCATGATTCATGATCATGCAACTACTTAATGTCCTTGCAATTCCACGGTCAAGGGGGAGAGGTGACAGAAGTTTGTTGAAATCATAATGGTGGAGGGTGTACTGGCTGCAGACATGGCAGAGGATGGTATGTGAAATGAGGCTAAGACCCAGAAAAGGAGGAATCTAGCAATGATGACTTAGGGCCTGTTTGTTTCGCAAAAAATTACAGAAGGTGGGGGAAAGAAAATGAATTTTGATGTTTTTCTCTACTTTTTGATGTTTGGTTCGTCAAAATTCGGAAAGAAAGTGATGGAGAAAATGAGTTGTCATCATATTATTGGATGAGATGAGTAATTTTTGATGTTTTCCTTCACTTTCTTTATTTTTTGTTCTTTCTTGTGTTTGGTTCATTCTTAAAACTAAGAAAATAAATGAGAGAAAATGAGCTGTCATTATATTATTGGATGATGTGACCCATACTAAGGAAAATCAATTTCCTTGTTTTTTTTGGAGGAAAGGGATGGAAGGAAATTTTAATGAGATGTGATGAGTTGTCATCATATTATTGGATGATGTGAGTAATTTTTAAAGATGGTAGAAAATGAAGAAAAGTTGGGTGAGGTGAGTTAGATGAGTTGATTGATGTGACTCATTTCTTGTGTTTAGTTTATTTTTAAAAGTAAGAAATGAGATGTGATGGGATGAGTTGTCACAATATTATTGGGGAAAAGTAGAGAAAGTGAAGGAAAGTGGGTTAAAGAAAGTGGGGGAAAGTGAAAAAGTGAAGGAAAGTGGGTTTTGGATTCTGGGGGAAACGAAACAAACAGGCCCTTAGTGGTTGACAATACGAACTGTGTGGAATTTCAACTTCAATGTTGTGCATTGTACAAAACTGCAATTGATAAAATGGCATAAAAAGTAGGAAATGGCTAGCAAATGCATAAGTGCTATAGGATATTTCTCTATATACTAAAGTTAAAGGAGTTTGCACTGTAGCTAAACGCTGTAAATGATACAGTTTAATTCCTTACCTTAGCATTTTAAAAATAGGTAAGGTCTCGTTCATTATATATCTAATGTCTTCAAGTAACTTATAATTAAACTCATCCAATTGCGAAGGGTTTTTGCCTATACACCCATAATTTTAACGCAATTTAATTTAACCCCCACCCCGCCACCTACCTACGTACACACTGAAAAAGGATTTTTTTTACTCTAAACTCAGTTTTAATTTAGATACAAACCTCACTCAGTTCCACAATCATGCCTAAACCCATAATATTGCTCTGCCCAAACTTTCAATCCGATTTACTTTTAAACTCACACACTCCCAAAAAGTTTTTTGCCTATACCCAAAGTTTTACCGCTATTTATCTGCAAACTCATCCACTCAAACCTCCATTGAATTAATTTTACACCCTATTTGTATTTCAACAAATTAGTGGCGTAAGTTGCTATATTTTAAAAAAAAAGTGGTTGCATTGATGGTGAACTTTTCAAATACCCAAAAAAAAGGCTTTATTATTTTGTTGCAACATCACAAACAGTAGGTAAGTTTTTTTTCATAAACCCAAAGTTTTACTCTCGTTTATTTTAATTTCACCCTCATTTATTTTAATTTCACCCTTTTTCACTTCCAAAAAGATTTTTGTGCCGATCAGCCCAAAGTTTTGTCCTTTACTTTTAAAACCATTCATTCCCAAAAGCACTCATAGACCAAGAAAAAGTTCCACCTATTGATTTTAAACTCTTTATATTTTAGCAGTTTAGTATATGTTGTAAGGTGCTACGTTTTTTTCTAAGTGTTGACAAATACAGGGTACTTTTAACCAAATGCTTAAAACATTATTTCTTGAGCTTTTCTGGCACAAATTTAGTAGCATCACAAACTGTAGATTGGTCTTTTTGCCTAAAAACTAAAAGATGTACCCCGATTTATTTTTAAGCCATTCCATTTCCAGAAAGAATTTTTTGCCTACAACCCAAAGTTTTATCTCCATTTATTTGTAAACCCTTTAATTTTCAAAATCATTCTTAGACCCAAAAGTATTTCACAAAATTAGTTTTAAACTCTTATATTTCAAAAGTTTCATATCTAGGGTAAGTTGGCATATTTTTATTGTAACTTTCTATATTTTTGTGTCAAGTGGTATACATTGTATCTAAATTTTAAAATAAATGCTTAAACCATTATTTTTTGTCCCTCAAATATCGTAACATCGCACGGGTCAACTTTGCTCGTTATGCACTATGCAAAGAGAAATGTGTAATATCACTAAAATCAAATTACGAATATACTGAAAACCCTTTTTCGAAAATAAGATATGCTTGGATCTGAAAGGATGCCTAAACCTAAGAATTCAGATTGTTAGCATGTGAATTGCTTAATGGGTTAAAACTACTGAAGATATTAAAACAGGTATCCCCTTTCTATTGACTCTCTTCATTATGAGTAATTATTCAGCATTCATGACATAATACATTCAGAATATTGAAAAGAAAAAATATAATGAAATTTTGTGTAGTCCTTGAATAACATTATTGGATGCATAATATTATTTCTTTATTTCTCATACCTGCTATATGCTATTGGTAAATCAATTTTATTTTTTTCAAATATATTCTTAATGATAACAACTTATTTGTGGAATTTGCAATACTTAGTAAGCAACTAATTAGTAAGCAATACGATCTATGTTGTGTTTTCTTATGTTCTCTTATCAAAGGAGGTAACCAGATATTCCTTATACTTTGTCATGAGTAGGACAAAATGTTTAAAAGTGTATCTTTATGTGCAGTGACCAATGTCAAGCTCATGGTCCCTATCAACGTATATCGTTATCTTGTGACAAAAAGAGAATTTATTTTCTGAGTTTTGAGCATACTTCTCACATGATGGCAACATTGGAGGTTTTGAGCATACTTCTCACATGACGGCGACGTTGGAAACTTTATGGGTTTATATAATGCAATTTACCAAAGGTTAGG